TGCCTGACTCACCACCAGCCCCCGGTCCAACCCAGATGGAACCACCCAGGTCAGGAGTGCGGGTGTCTCTCTTGGGTACCCCTTTGTGTCCATACTCATAGCTCATAGCCATCCCGACACAACTGGATACCTGTGCGGCTTAGCATGGTGTTCGATCTCACAGGAATCCTGGCCTCTAAGGGAAGGCAACAGCTGCTCCACAGATTGGAGTGAGGTTAAGAATGAAGGTTGGAGGTGGTTGTAGCCAGAGCTGAGCTGATCCAGAGCCAGGCTGACTCTACATGCGGTCATATTGGTGCCCCAAGCCTGTACTCCTCTGGATGAAGGCGCCGCCGGTCCATGGTGCAGGTACAGGGACTTACAGAGTCAAGCGTCAACAGACTCTTGGCACCCAGCAGATGCTCTGTGAGGCCTCCTCTCTTCTCTCCCCCCACCCCAGATCTACCCAAAAGTTTGCTATGGCTCAGAACACATCTGCTCCCTCAAAGCACTCCAAAGTGTGCTGGCTCACAGATGAGAGAGGGTGACGGGGACTTCCGGGTCCCTGGTGCCTTCAAAGGTTCAGATACTTCTTCACATGACACAGATGCTCCCTGTCTCTGTCAACAAAGCCAGGGAGTGACCAAGTGAGTTGTTCTCTTTGAGAGAATTTGGCAATGGAACGACTCCCACCAGAAGGAAGGCTCAGCATGACTGTCACGTCCCCAGTGACTGGGACCACTCTTCTGTGCAGGTGAACTTAGAGCCAGCCACTGGCCACATCCCTGGTTTCCTAGGAGCACAGGTCTGGGCAGTCACCTTCCGCACAGCAGAGAGGGGGTAAACTCACATGCTGAGTGTTCAATGAGAAACACTGGGATAGGGCCCAGCCAAGACTCCCAGAAAGACAGTTGAGCTGGGGACCCAAGACGGACAAAGGACTGTTGTTATGTAGGACAGCATCTCCCTGGGGACTTCCTCGCTAGCTGTCAGGAGAACTGGTTCCATCTATACAGACCATCCTCGGCATCGATCCCTTTTGTCGTTATGTCTCTTGGGTCATCACATGACCAAGTCTCGCCAGCGCCAAACACTTACAGAAATAGCTATCTGGTTTTGCTGAGGAGGCGGGGCTTTACCCACATCTCCCTGCATGCAGCATCCACACCAAAACCACTTTATGGTGCCAAAAGAGAATAAACTACTTTGGCATGGTGTCTCATACCTGCAATCCCCTGTCCTTAGGAGGCTCAGGCTGGAGGTTTGGGGCCAGCCTGGGCTACATAGTAAGACCTTGTTTCTAAGAAGAGGGGTAATAATGATAATAATAATAGTAATAATAATAACAGTATGATGATGATTCACAAGCTCCAGGGGCTCAGTAGCACCCTGGGTTCTATGCACACCTACAAGTGTTCTGCTTACCTGTGGCCACCAGAAGCTGGCAGCTCACAGGTATATGGCTCTCAGAAGGCACACTCACTACAGAAGATGCTCCTCCTCACAATGGGGAGCGCTGGGGGAGGTCAAAAAGAAGCCAGGTGCTGTAGATCATAAGCCAGCTCCATGCCACGGCCACAGAGCTGCTCCGATCAGCCTGTGTTCATATCTGTCTCTGGTTCCTCACACGGTCCTCTTTTGCATAAACAGGACCAAATGGGTCACATCTACGTACACTTTCATATTCTGCTTTGAAAACTGACATTGCATTTCGAGCAGTTTCAGTGTTTGTAATCTTAATAGGGCTTTAAACAACCCGTCTGATTTGGTTGTCAATTGTCAGGCTTGCTTTACAATCACTGCGGTGTTAAGTCTATGGTTACACCTCTATTGTTATATTCTTTCTTCACATGAATTGATAGCGCGCTCAGAACTGTGAGTCCAATATGTCTCTCTCAAAATTCCCTTGTAGCTCTTCTCCAGGTTCAAGAACTCTTGTTTCCCTCCTGGACCTCAGCCTCCAGGTGCTAGCACTGCAGTTTTTACAGTGGCCACAAGGTGTCACTGTTGAAGAATCGTCCTGAAGCCTGCAGCGACCACCCACCCTTTGACTTTACCGTCCTCCGCCATCCATGCCGCTGCAGACATCAGACAAGGCTTGAATCCTGAGGCTTTTCAAAGATGAACCACACACTGTTTGGAGGCCATTCCTCCACCAATTCTTAGGTCTTGGGATATGAGCACCCCTCCCCCCACCCCCGTTTTCCCCAGGGACTTACTTCTCTGCTCCTGGATTTAAGCAACGTTTTGTGCCTGACAGATGTTTCCACTTTTAAACCAAAGGAAACAGTGCTGCTCTATAGGCGCACCCTGGGCATCCTAGGCAGACGTCATCTCTACCCCAGGTGGCTGCTTCACAAGATGAGAGTGGGGCACACTTAGCTAAATTCACCAGATAACGTCTTTTGTACCATCCTTTCTTTGAGAAAAATGGCTGCCTTCCTGCCTTGTGCCACACTTGCTGGAAGGTTCTGTTCGAAATAAAAATTCTACCCTGCTACTATGCATGACTTAATTTTTGTCCCAGATTATAGGAATTTTGTTTGTTTGTTTGAGACAAGGTCTCACTATATAGCCCTGGCTGACCTGGAACTCACAGAGATCTTACCAGCCTCTGTCTCCTGGGAGCTGGGATTACAGGTGTGAGTAACCACAACCAGCCACTGCTGTCTTGAAAACTATAATTATGATGTTAGTCTTTGACTTCAAGCTGGCAAATTGTCATATGTTTATTATTAGAGGAACAGAACTTATGGAATACAAATACATACATACATATATATGTGCACATATATATATGTATACACACACGCGTGCCCATGAGTTCACATGTGTGCGCGTGCACACACGCACACACACACACACACACACACACACACGAATACACACACGGATGGGGGTATCAGAACGGCTTATGGGCTGTGGTCAAGCTCGTCCAGCAATGGTTATCTACCAAAGGAAGTTCCAAGAATCCAGTAGTTGCTCAGTCCGTGAGGCTGGATGTCTCAGTCGGTCTTCAGTAGGCACCAGAATCCTGAAGAAATCGCCTCTAATACCGGTGAAGGAATGGTTTGCTAGCAAGGCAACAGCAAGCAGGCAAACAGCAAAAGCTTCCTTCCTCCATGTTCTTTCTATTGACTGCTACAGAAGGTGTGGTCCAGATTACACTGAATCTTCCCACCTCAAAAGATGCGAATTAGAAAAGTGTCTTTCCACTTCAAATGATTGGTTTTGTTTTGTTTTGTTTTTTGTTTTTGTTTTTAAGACCAGGCTGGCCTCAAACTCACAAAGATCCTCCTGCCTCTGCCTCCCGAGTGCTGGGATTAAAGGTGTGAGCTACCATCACCCGGCTTTAAATGATTTAACTAAGAAAAAATTCCTGGGGCTGGGAGGATGGCTCAGAGGCTGTTCTTCCAGAGATCCTGAGTTCAATTCCCAGCAACCTCATGGTGGTTCACAACCATCGATAATGGGATCTGGTGCCTTCGTTTGGCATGCAGGCAGAGCACTGTATACATCATGAATAAATAAACCTTAAAAAGGAAAGAGAAAAAGGTTCCTCACAGCTGTGCCCAGCCATTTGTGCTTCAGTTGACTTCAGATGTAGCGAAGTTGACAACCAAGACTGTAGCCATCACAAGTCTGCCCTTTGCCAACCTGACACACAGTCATATAACCTTCCGTCGTTCACAGGAAAGACATTGAGCCAGTCAGAGTTGGTAGTTATGATATGAAGAACTTTGCGAGGCTGTGGTGGTTCGAATGGGAACTGTCCCACAGGCTTGTACTACTCACGGCCACACGGTGAGACACAGAGCCAGCTCTGCCTGTATAGGACAACTTCTCAAGAGAACTAACAAGCATCCCACGAGAGAAACCTTAATCCCTTCTGAAGAGAGCGCCATTCTTGAACTTACAGCCTTCCCACCGGCTCCATCTCAGTGACACCACCCTGGGGGCAAAGCTTCTAACCTGGGAATCCTGGGGTCGGCAAACCACAGAAAACATGGAACCAGACTGATAGAGAAGCCTCAAGACACTCGAGATTCCGCTGCTCATGACACAAGATGTGGAGGACTGTTCTAGAGCTGGCCAAAGGCTCTTTATGATGGACTATGTGCCAATCATACAGTAGTTTGTAAAATGATACAGAGGCCAACGCGAATGGACTCCCCTACTCAGAACAACAAGGACACATCAGGATCATTCATTTAACTGAAAACACGTCAGTGAATTAAAAAATAGGAAAGCCGTAAGAAACAATAAAATAAAAGCCCAGAATAAACTGAGTGTGATATCACCCTCCTGTGATTGTAACTCGGAAGTCTGAGGCAGGGGGACTGCAATGAGTCTGAGGCCAGCACAGTGACCCTGATCTCAAACAACAAATGCACAGACAAGCAAGCAGAGCCTCAGAGAAAGCATGCTAGTTTTTCAAGTGGAGAGAAAAGGGCCTTTGAAGGCCCTGCAGGGATTTTAAAGACTGTCTGTCTAGGCAGGCCTGGAGAGGTGATAGCTCAGTGGTTAGAGCTCTGGCTGCTCTGGCAGAGAACCTGGGTTCAGTCCCCAGCACCTACATGGCAGCTCACAATCCTCTGTAACTCCAGTCCCATGGGGATTCAATGCCCTCTTCTGGCCTCTGTGGGCTCGTCATATACATGATGCACAGACGTGCAGGCCAAGCACACACACACACACACACACACACACACACACACACACACAAATAAATCTAAGATAAGCCCAGGCATTTAAACAATTTCAACAAAGCTTAGCCACTCAGGTAAGGGAAAGAAAGAAAGCGGCACCCCCATGACTCTAACACTTTTTGAAGCTGGGGAAGGCGTGGGTATTGTTGAGCATTCCTAACACCAGTGCAAAATTCATTGGCAATATTTGTCAGAACAGAAGCAGAACCACAGGAAAGTTCCAAGAAATAGAATATTTTTTCTGTAATTACATAATATACAATGAGCCTGTAGAGTGTGTGTGTGTGTGTGTGTGTGTGTGTGTGTGTGTGTATTGCAGTGACGTTACTTCTTGCATAAGTTGCTGAGTGCTTGCTTCTTAAGACAGCAGGCAGAAGTCCTTTTAAGGGGTGCACTCAAAATGAACACACACTGAAAACACTGGATAAAATCATCTTTGTATTTAAACTCAGGTTCCAGCCCCAACAAATCTCTTGTATGTATCAGCCCGGGGTCGGCCCAGCAGATACCATTCCTACAGTGTTGACAGGATGGCCACCTGGGAGGAAATGGAGACTGTCATACACATAGCGTTTGCCGCGTGCGGGATGATGTCCGTGATCCCATTTTGCCCTTGTCAGTTACCCAGTGAGAATCAGGCATGTGGATGACTTTAGAGATGGAGGAAATGAGACAAGCTGGAATCAGATTGGCAGTGCTGTCTCCAGGCTCCAGTTCCTGCTGCCGCGGATGGTCAACGTTCACACCTCACAACCTATCCGGAAGGCAGGAAAGTCCAGCGGCTCTGCCACTGTCTTCTAGGTTTGCCATGCATGCTGAAGCCGGCACACAGTTCCCTTTCTAACCAATTCAGACAAGAGAGTGGGTTCACTGTGTTGCTCCGACAACAAAGGTATACAACCTGAGCCTCTGTGAGCCTCGCGCCCTTCTTTCCCACAATTCTGGCAGCCAGATGCTCAAAGTCACTTCCCTGGAGACTCTACTGGAGAAACTGCTTCCTGCCAAGGACTGAAGAGGCCCCAGTGTTTCTGTCGCTCTGTTTGCCCTTCTGACACGGGCACCTGCCAAGGCCTCTTGGATGACAGAATGCATTCCCATCTCCTATCCTCACTTCATCATATCGGCAAAGTCCTTGCTGCTATGTGGGGTAATACTTGAACCCCAGGAACTGGAATATAAATGATGGATTGGGGGTTTCATTATTTATCCCACTACCCTTAGCATCTTCCCAGGGATCCAGTATAGGGGGAAGAGGGCATCATGCCAAGTAAGTAATGTGCTTGGGAATGTGAACCTCAGGCATCCTTGTGACGTGTAAATGATAAAACATGTCTTGATCCTGCCCAACCAAACAGCATCTGTAGTTTTGATTTTTGTTGGTGGTAGGACTCGACCCAGTGCCTGGTCGAGCAAATAAAGATTATCTTTGGAACGCTAAGGACAAAGGCTAGCAGAAAGCTTTGCACAGGGCAGGCCTGTACCACAGTTGTTACCCCAGTGGAAGACTCTCTCTCCCCCACCCAACCTGTGCCTTCCTCCCGGATAGTTTCACTGATTGATAGAAATATACCTTAGCTCTTTGATCTGTGTGACCTGCTTCTTATCTGCTTGTTGATAAAGAGGTGAAAGTATCACTGAAGGATGGGAGGAGACCAAGTGTATGGCGGAACTCAGGAAAGGGGACTTGAAATCCCTCCCAGAATTGGTCTCCTGACCATCCCAGAACCTGACAGATTGCAGAGCCCGACCCATCCTTCATGCTAGAAAGATCTCTTGTTGGAGAAACAGCTGTCCATACCTCACACGGAGGGAAAGTGCTCTGAAAGTCGCCTCAGCTCCTGCGTCCAAAGGTCTCCCTCGTACCGTCAAATTTCTCTGCAAATCGCACAAAGGGCAAAGCTGGAGCAGATTTTTACTGCAAAAGGAAAGAAAGGCACAACCCACGCCGCCAGCCCCAGGCCTGCGGCTTCAGCAATTAGCTCGATGTGCTAATGAGAGTCTTCAGGGGGGACGGCATTAATTAATGGGTGAATTTCACTTTAATAAATGTATAGGCAATTTTCTAAATGCAGATGGCAGAGTCCGCCCTGATGGCTGTACCTCGAGCCACTCAATATGGTAAGTGTTGGAGGAAAGTGGTTAATTTGAAAAATGCCTCATGATACTGATTAGAAAAGAAATAATGCTCGTTTTCCCTTGCACTGTATGGGTCCCCACAGCCGGGGAACGCTACCCACTCTGCTTCCACAGCAGCCTGAGGCGTTCTGTCCTTCCCAGTGTCCTGAAACGAGAGGAACTAGGACTAGGGGGACATCACCTTTATTGTAGGCTTCCTGTCTCCGTTTTTCACCTCAAGCCAAACCTTGATGCCTGCCTCTGCCATCTCTCAAGGGCAAGCAGAAATGGCTGCCACACAGTCCCAGATCAGGGGCACTCTTTGAAAGAGAATCTGTAACACCTGAAGTCATTACTACTGTGGGATCTACTTAACTGAACCTCGGTGATGGCTAAACACGCAGGGGATGGCCAGAAGCTAGGGGACAAAGGAAGTCTCCCCTGTGGCAGGTTTTCATTCCTCCTTCTTAGGCAGATGGGCAGTGTGAGCGCCAGCTCCCAGGCCTCCCCTCAGTCTCCCTTGAGACGCAGGAAGTGCCTGTTCCAGACTCCCGTGGTGAGTCGAAATTGTTACAGAATTCAACTACTCTGGATCCAGGCCTTTCAAAATTACAGTAAGTCACAATTTGTTGCAACCATTAGCTTGACAATAAAATCCTAATTTATCAAATAAGCTGGACCCAAACCAACGGGAAAATCCCAAGTAAATAGAACGACTTGGCCTATGATGTTGTTCTGGGAGTCGGGATGGGGACAGCTCCCTGAAAGAGATGAGGACAAGCTGGCCCATGTGCACCAACTCCCGCGTCGCCGGCATGTGTGTTGTAAATTCGTGTTGGGGTTCGGAGGAATCGGGTGATTATAAATAGACCCCCCCGTTCTGTGGGCAGCATCTCTGGAGGGGAGGAAGTTCCTCTTCCATCTTATCCTACAATGATTAGAATCAATGCTAATCAGATGTTGGTTCCAATGAGAAAAGCCAGGCCCAGCAGGGTTAGGGAACTTGTTCAAAGTCAGGTGGATACCGCAGGCTGCCTTCCAGATTCGGCTCCTAACTGGCCTGGGGAAGCACCTGGCTTCAGTGTGAAGTGTCCATCTGCTGGCGTTTGGTCTTGGTGCCTGTGATGGGCTCCCCTGCAACTCCCTGGCATGGCTGCTTCAGGCCTGGGCGAACTCCGCTGACTCGGCCTGTTTTCTGTTGCGCTGGCAAAATGCCATCGCGTGACTTATAAGGAAAAGGAGATTGAATGACTCCAGCTCACGGTGCTGGAGATCAGGAAGCCCAGCGGCCTGGTGTTACCATGCTCCTAACGTGTCTGAAAAGCGGAAGGGCAAGTGCAGGCCCACAGAAGACAAAGAGCTCGTAACCCAGCCTTGATCTGTCACAACACAGCGGTAACAGAAACACAGCCCAAAGACCAAGGACCCCTTGCCACAACTCACACCCTCCCACGCTCCACTGGAGTTTTGATGAGGCCAATCTACAATAAAACCGTACTACTGGGCTTTGGAACTAATAGTTGGCTAAATATATATGATAAACCAGGCTTAGACTACCACACCGGGACCTGCAAGGCTCTCCCAGGTACCATTAACATGTCTGCTGGAGGTACTCCAACTCATGGGTCTGGGGAAGGCTGGAAAAGGGCAAGCCATGCATTCTTTAACTTTTCAGATTTATTTTTTATTTTATTATTCTATCTATGTTTTTCGTGTGTGTATGTGTGTGTGTGTGTGTGTGTGTGTGTGTGTGTGTGTATTCCATGCATGTGAGTGCCCACTGAGGGCATAATAGGGCATCAGATCCCCTGGAACCGGAGTTACAGATGGTTCTGAGCCTCCATGTGAGTGCTGGGACTGAACCCAGCTTCCTCTGCAAGGGCAGCCAGAGCTCTTGACCTCCGAGCTGTCTCTCCAGCCCCAAATCATACATGATTTAATAAATGAGCTAAGGGAGGAATATGTGCTTCACCCCATTCCTCGAAGTTGGTTGGGTGTCACTGCAGTTGAGAAAGGCTCTCTTAAAGCCCCGCGTAATAAAGGCTAGGGCCCAAACCCTGGAGATTTGGGGCTGGGGCTGGAACTTTTAAGAGTAGATGGTGGTCTGGTAAGTTAGGTATCTGTCTGCATGTCCATGAAGTGATACAATCACTCTCCTCAACCTCTTGAGGAGGTTGGTATACGGCTAGAACTGGAGTCACAGATGGTTGTGAACCAGCACGTGGGTGCTGGAAACTGAATCTGGGCCCTCTACAAGAACAACAAGGGCTCTTCATTACTGAATGATCTCTTCAGCCCTTCCCTCTTCCTCTCTTTTTTACTTCTTGGCTATGAGGTGAATGGTTTTTTTCCTCTGGGCCAAAATTCAAATTCTCTCCTTATATACCCTGGTCTTTGCCTCAGTAATAGAAACCCGATTCTGTTTCTGTTACAAACAAAGAGGAGGTGGACAATCTCAAAAATATATATTTAGAAAATTCTTGCTAGGGTTGGAGGATGGCTCAGAGTTAGGAGCACTGGCTGTTCTTCCAGAGAACTTGAGTTCAATTCCCAGCAACCACATGGTGGCTCACAACCATCTGTAATGAGATCTGGTGCCCTCTTATGGTGTGCAGACATACATGCAGGCAGAATATTGTATACATAATAAATAAATCTTATTAAAAAAGAAAATTCTTGTTAAGATTTACAAGTAGCCTTCGAGGGGGCAGGGCCATGGCCATTCCTCACGGTTCCAGCTGGAGCCTGTTTATGGGCTCTGACAGGAGCCAAGTGTGTCCTCTTCCACACTTTTAGGGGACAGTAAGCCTCACAGACAACTGGTCTCAAGTGTGGTGAGGACTATTCTGGAAAGTTCTGATTGCCTCAGGAGCACAGGGGGATCATTTGTGATCAACACTTAAAATTCCCAGGCAAGGGGCAGGAAAGATGGCCAGGGTTAAGGGAAATGAGCTGGCTGCTCTTGCAGAGGACCCAGGTTCAAGTCCTAGCAGCTGCATGGCAGCTTACAACTGTTCGTAACTCCAGTTCTGGGGAGATAACTCTTCTTCTGACTGTGTACACACCAAGTGCACATCCATACATGTGGGCAAAACCTTCTTACATATAAAATAAATATTAAAAACTAGCAGGGGGCTGGAGAGATGGCTCAGGGGTTAAGAGCACTGGCTGCTCTTCTGAAGATCCTGAGTTTAATTTCCAGCACCCACATGGTGGCTCACAACCATCTGTAATGAGATCTGGCTCCCACTTCTGGCCTGAAGGCATACATGCAGTCAGGACACTGTATATATAATAAATAAATAAATCTTAAAAAAAAAAAAAGTTCCGGGGAAGGTGCTCAAACCCTGTCCATGGTTCTAGGTGAGGCCCACCAGGGGCTTTTACCTCATTGGCAATTTATTAATTTTTAAAAATTTATTTATTTACATTGTATGTGAGTGCTCTCGCTGCACGTACACCTGCATGCCAGAAGAGGGCATTAGATCCCACTATGGATGGTTGTGAGGCCCCATGTGGTTGCTGGGAATTGAACTCAGGACCTCTGGAAGAGCAGCCAGCAGTTCAGTCCAGCAATTCATTCATTTACCATGCACGCTTTTAACTGATCACTCTTTTGTGTCAGGAACTCATGCTATGAAGAAAATAACGAGGAAAGTTGATGTTTTTTGTGTCCTGTGGAGCTTTTCCTGTCTTCATGGAGACTACAGTCCCAACTTTCCATTACTGTAACAAAACAGCTGTGAGAATCAACCTGACAGGGTTTCTCTGTTGCTTTGGAGCCTGTTATGGAACTCACTCAGTAGACCAGGCTGGCCTCAAACTCACAGAGACCTGCCTGTTTCTGCCTCCTGAGTGCTGGGGTTAAAGGTGAGCACCACCACCGCCTGGTGAAGGTCTTAATCGTTTAGTCACAGTATCGTTCTTGTCTTGCCGGCCAGCACAACAGTGCCTTCTCATGGTGTGTCCTGGCTGCTCACAGGAAGGAAGGGCAGGTCAGTGAGGCTAAAGGAAGGAAGAACCAGAATCTAGCTGAACTTGAAGTGACTTAGCTGCTGTCTTGTCCTGCCAATCAGCAATGATGTGGGTATGGCAAGTAAATGTCAAGGCCCCTCGTTTCATTACGAACAGTGTCTACCTCATAGGACTCTAGAGGTCTCCAGGGAACAGATACCTGCGCAAGGTGCTGGGCCATGCAGGGTGTTCATGGCTGACTTACCAGGTCTTGCCTAGAAAGTAGTTATTAAAAGCAAGGTTGGTTCTCAAGAATCTAAGCCACACAGGGGGCCTGGGTGGGAATGGGGTAACAATCCTCAGAGGTGTGGCCAGCTTAGGTAGGTTGCAGGCCAGAGGCTTGCAACCACCAGAGTGTGTCCCTGACCCATGACCTCTGCCCCTTGGGGAGACTCTAAGTCTGTCTTGCCCTTCTCAAGATTGCAGGGGATCAGTGTCATGGAGAGATCAATCTGTGCTTGAAGTTATAACCCATTGTGAAATAAGAAGGGTCTCCTAAGATATCCCTGTCACTCATCTTTAGGAGAAGCTCAGTGGAGGTCACCATCACCCTGCTCTTTGAAGGCAGGGGAAGGCCTGATGTTTTTCTCAGCTTTCATTTTCTCTGGAAACATAAGAAGTGAGGATGCCGCCACTGTCCATGTCTGTAGGAGGGTTTAAGTTCATGGTTTAGGTTTTAAAACAGCAATTTGAGCCCATTAGAGAGAGATCGGGTGCCGGCACACGCCGGGAAACAGCACATTAGC